CCAGCAGTTCCAGAGTGTCCCATTTTCATATATTATACCCATGCACACGTCCTAAAAATGAGGTACAGCAGGGCAAATATTTCCCCAAATAGATGTCATATATATAATATAATATACACACACGCATACATACATACCTTTATTCATGTGATGTCCAAATATTTTTTAAAAGTACACTTTTATTATAAAATATTATTTCATTCTTATAAATCGCTTGTACACAAATTCCTGTCTTAGGTCCTGCTTTTTTTTTTTTAGGTCTTTTTGAGACCGGGACTCCCTGAAGCCCCCCAGCTGTCCTGGAACTCACTATGTAGACCAGGCTGGCCTTGTACTCACAGAGATCCACCTGCCTCTGCCTCCCAAGGGCTGGGATTAAAGGCGTGGGCCACCACGCCCAGCTAGGTCCTGCTTTTAGTGACTCCAGTTTACTCTGTAAATAGAGATCATGCATATATCCCCTCACTCACAACCTCTCAGAGCCTCCAACATGCATTGGTGAGCCCCCGGCTTCTTCCCTGGACTGCTGCGGGCCATGCTCTTCTAACAGTGGTGTCTATGAGCATGAAGTGCCTTTCCCCGGTCATGTTCCCCAAGCTTTAGACTCACTCTTTCTTTTTTTTTTTAAAGAATGTTGCTTTGCTGCTGTTCTTTTCAGGCATTACTTTGCCTCTTTATAGTAGTTTGTATTTCTGTTTTAATTTTACATTATTGTTTCCTGCTCCCATGAAGAATGTCATTAGACATTAATGGTTATTTCATGGAATCTGTAGATGGATTTGGGTAATACAGTATTGTTATAGGACAGAGTTCGTAAAAAAATCACCAACACCACTTTAAGAAAAGTAGCAAGGTAAATTTATTTTTTGACTGGCCGGGCTGTCTATCTCGGGAGTAGAAGCAGCCCTGAATATTGATCGATCAGAGTTTTTATAGGATTACAGTAAGCATAGCATAAGCAAAATCTGCCTTCACCAATCAGGGTCGTACAACATAACAGAATTCTAATTTTAGTAATTAGCAACCAATCATTATAAGTGATTTAATCACATAACTTGGCATCCAACTTTGTGACCTTAAAACTAGCCAACTGTTCTAGCCATAATAAGTATACTAAGACAGCCAAGGTAAACAACTTCCAGGTGGGCACACAATAACAGGAGGACAGGGTGATCTTATGCTCTGTGTCAAGGCGACCCAAAATAGCAAGGTTACAGAAGCGAAAACAAGCTGGTTAGCAAAAATATAATGTCTGGAATTATCACATTCCGTGATTCATGGCGAGGGCAATTTCCCAAGACCCAAGGTTGCCCCCCTTTTCCTTTGGTGTGGAGCAAAGTTGCTGCTGAAATGGCTCTGAACAAAATGGAGTAACTTAGGGAAGTTTGCTGAGCCAGTTCAAGTATATTCACAATATTGACTCTGCCCACTATGTTATCTTTCCAACTTCCAATGCCTTTGTATTTTCGTTTGATGTTTTTTATTTTTATTTTTATTTACTTATTTATTTTTTAGAGAGAGAGAGAGACAGAAGGAATTGTTCTTCAAATGAAATAGTGGATCATGGGTGTCAGATGTAACCAGAAACACATCTCCACAGGGTACAGGGCCTTGTAGTCAGATGTGGATTTCTTTTTCCTTCCCTAATAGTCTTTTTTAAAATCATTATTATTTTTTTAAGATTTTTAATAACTACATGATTAGAAGAAGCATTTCACTACAGCTTTAACATATTCAGTAACATACTCCAGAGCAAGAGTACATCTCTTTCACAAGTGGGTGCAAGGTTCTAGGTTCACAGTTGAATTAATACAGTTATACAACATTGAATGTAGTATAAGCCCTGTAAGACATAAAGTTGAATGAGTTTTTAACCTTTAAAAAAGATCTCCATTTCATTTTAGAATATATTATTCCTTGCAGAAAGACTCGTTGTTTTTGCTACTAACATTGAGGTGTTGGCACATGCATCTCTAGTCTGTATGTATCTGACTATTACTAGTTATAATCGATTACACTTTGATCCTTGGTGCCTGTGTATGCCTATAAAGTCATCAGGTAGATTTCAATGGTAAAGTTTATCACCTCTACTAATTAGCATGATGTAAATTTCCATGCTTCCTCCTCAAATATATTTTTTAAAACTTTGTTGATTTTTGTGTGTGTATGTGTGTATCACACAGAACATCCCAAAGCATCTTATTCAAATATATACCTACTTCCCAGATGGCCCCCTCCCATAGCCTCCCTCCCCCCACTAGAGCCCTTATACACTGATATCCCTATTACTGTCTGCTGTGTTGTCAGCACCCCAGCCAATCCCCACTACTTGTCCTTCTGGTGAATCTAGTCAGCCTATCTAGAGGTCTTTGTTTTAGGAAGGTCAGCTGTTCCTCATCTAGCAGCAATCAGTTGTCAGTATTCCTTTAGATAAGATTTGAGTCTGCTGTTCATTTTCCCAGTTCTATGCTGGGTTACTATCTGGGAGTCCCTTGGGCCACCCTGGCCAACAACTCAAAATAAGGTATCGCCTGTCTGGAATTGTTGCTTGTTATGTAGTGTTTAGCTATGCATATGGACTCTTAAAAAATTATAAAGGCCCCTCTAATCTTTGGTTGCACTTTCCTTTTGGGTGTTTAAGACCATACAGTTGGCCCAAATAAACCAATTTATTTTTACTCTTAAGGTCATTTGAGGATCTGTTCCTCAGGGGTCCCATGGGCTTGTGGGGAGCCTCTGGCTCCTTTCTTTTACCAGTTCCGCCTATGTGAAGATAAGTCAAAGGTCCTGCTCGACCATGGATGGCTCACTTGGAAGCATGGAGGAAATGATTCCTCTT